TTTAGAAATCTAGAAAGCAACAACATAAATATTTAATAATAAAAGAATAATTTATTTACTTATGGAATATTATCTGTATGCAATTTTAGCCAATTAAAAAAACTGATTAACATGTTAAGTCACCTACAAATATGAGGAAATTAAGTATGGACTGCATGCACTTTAACATAACTGCAAAAATCTTCATTTCCACATGGATAGAAATTCTAATATAAAAATACATAGTTATCACTTCTTTTACATTAATTGTATACATTTATGAATTTTAATATGAAAATAATATGTGAATAGAGTTATAACTAATACATCAAGCAGTTACCCAGACACCTTTCACATCTGAAACATCTTTAAGAATCAGAAAATAAGCAAATACATATCCAAGAGCCAAAATAGACTCAGAGTGCTGATACTCTGAAGTTCACACATTTTATTTATAGGAAAACCTTCCAACTTTCAGTCTGAGCATTCTAATGAGCCCAATTCCTCTATCATAACAGAGTAGAATAGATAATCAGAGGAGAGTGAAAAATCTCAGAGAGTGAAAAATCTCAGAAAATTTAAAAAATGGTAGTAGTAATCATTATACAAAGTCTTGTACTATATAAAGTACATTCATACGCATTATTCCATTTGATTCATATAAAAACCTTGGTGGATAGGTCTTTTGTGTGTGTGCTTATGCTACAGAAGAGGAGTAAGACTTAACAGTGTTTTTGCCCAAGACCACACAACTTAAACTTAAAATTGTAGAGTCAATTCTGACTCATAGAAAGCCCAGTATTGCAAAGCAGCTCTGCATTCCACCATGGCTTTATGGCTATGACCTTTACACAGCCTGTCTCTGGAGGCCAGGAGTCCTGGTCACATAGGGGTTACGTGTTGGACTGCTAGCAAGGTCAGCAGTTTGAATCCACCCGCTGCTCTGCGGGAGGAAGATAGGGCTGATGCTCCTGTAAAATCTTGGAATTCCTAGGGAGCAGTTCTACACTGTCCTATAGGGTCATTATAGTGACTCAATGGCACTAACCAGAGCCTCTGAGGCATCTGTGGGTGGGTTTGAACTGCTAACCTTTTGGTGACTAGTTGAACACTTAATCATTTGCACTATCCAGGAACTCCTTAACCTACATCTTCTAAATCTGCATTCTTAATCTTTTTACCAAACTGCAGTTTCTGCCTTACAATTGTAAGCCATGGCATCTGACATATGGTTGTCCATGGTTTTTGGATCAGTCACTCTTGGTTTTGCCACCCAGTTTATCTATTGTGTGTTACCCCTAAGCCTCAGTTTCTTTACTTATACCTATAAAATGGGCCCAATAGCCATAGGGCTTTTGTGATGATTCAATGAGAAAAAGTAGGTAAAGCGATTGGTTTAGTGTCTACTATGGAAGGGTTTGCATTAAATGTTGACAGTAAATAATATGTTAGCTTAAACCAGACTGGACTTCCCTATTTCTATAATTGTGTTAGCCATTTCTTGATGGCAATTTCTATAAACAACAATAGAAGTTTCAGTACTTTTGCTTCTCTAAAGAATGCAACCCAAGACACCGAGCTGCTAACCTTGAGGTCAGCAGTTTGAAACCCAGAGCCACTCCTTGGAAGAAAGATGGGAATTTCTCTCTCGGGGTCACCATAAGTCAAGAGTGACTTGAGGCAGTGGGATTTGCTGTTTCTGTGTGGTAGCCCTTCACTGCGGTGGAGTGTTCCTACGTTTGTACAGACCATGATTTCTTTCTTCCCTTGGTTTCTTCTCTCTGAATGCTCCTCACTCTCTCATTCTGGTGGTTTTCATTTCAACAGTGTAGTGAAAAAGTTAGGTGGGAGGCAAGGGGGCTCTTTTATGAAAAAGCTTCCAATTTTCATTCCAGAACATCAGAATGAAGGGAAACATCTGGGACTTTACACCATGCTTCTTTATTTTATGGACATTAGGAAGAAGACAGGGCCTTGGAAAAATGGCCATCAACAGTTTCCATCGTGGAACACACTTTGTGACACATAAATCAAACAGTATGCTTTGGGATGAGCTCAAGGCCTCCCCTGTTTCCTGTTCAGGCTGTGATTAGACTTCATGAGGTTAATAATGTTTTCAAATGCCCTTGAGCCAGAATAGGTGGTATTTTTTTTTTAGGTTTATCTCTAATAGCTAGTGATTGTGAACATCTTCTCCTGTGTGTGTGTCCTGCTTGGATATCCTCTTTGCTGAACGTTTTGTTCATCTCTTTTGCCCGTTTTGTGATTAGATTGTTTTTCCTCTTCTTGTTGAGTTGTTTTAGTTTTCTATAGATTTTAAGGATGAAATAGACTTGAAATAAAGTTCGATTACAAGAGATAAAGGACATTACATAATAGTAAAAAATCAATCTAGCAAGAAGACATTACTATTATAAGTATATATGTCTAACAGTAATGCACCAAAATACATAAAACAAATACTGACTCATATGAAAGGAGAAATAGACAATTCCACAAAACCAGGAGATTAACACACTACTTTCAATTACATGAAAAGAACATCTAAAAAGATCACTAAGGATATTGAAAACTTAAATAAAATCCTGAGCCAATTGGACCTGATGAACATTTATAGAACACCCCATCAAGGTCGGAACAATACACATTGTTCTCTAGCCCACATGAATAATTATCCAGAATAGACCATGGGCTAGGGCATAAAAAAGTTTCAGTTAATTAAACAATTTTAAATCATACAAAGTATCTTCTCTGACCATAAAGGTATGAAGGCAGAAATGAACAACAGAAAAAAATAATAAAAAAGCTAAAGACATGAAATGAAATAATACACTACTAAGAACTATTAGAACACAGAAGAAATCAAAAGTAAAATTAAAAAATTTCTAGAATCAAACAAAAATACAAACACAACATATCAAAGCCTATGGGACACAGCAGAAACTACTTAGTGGAAGATGTATAGCAATAAATGCCTGAATTTAAAAAGAAGAAAGATTTGAAATCATTAACTTAAGTTGCAAATTTGAGCACACAAATGAAAAAAGAAGACGGAAACTAGCACCTCCTTAACTGCCCCCCCTAAAAAAGCAAATAATAAAGGTCAGGACAGAAATAAGGGGGAAAATCATAGAAAAAAATAACAGAAGCCCATTCTTTGAAAGGATCAATAAAATAGGCAAACTACTGGGTAGATTGATGAAAGAAAAAACTTAAGAGGCAAACAACCAAATAAAAAATTAAATTAATCACATTGCAAGTGATCCAGGAGAGAGAAAGACAATCGGATACAATGAAAAATAGTATCCCCCAAATTGGAAAAGGTAGATGAAATGGACAAATTTCTAGAAGCATAATAAATACCCATATGAACACAAATACAGACAGAAAGTTTAAATAGAACCATTACATAAGAAAAGAACTGTGTTAGTCTGGTTTGACTAGAGAAACAAATCCGTAGAAACACTCTTATGTGTATAAGAAAGAGGTTTATATACAAGAGCAATTGACTATTGAGAAAACATCCCAGCCCAGTCCAGATAAGTCCGTAAGTCTGATATTAGCCCATATGTCTGATGTCGATCTATAAGGTCCTCTTCAGACTCATGCAACACATGCAATGATGCCGAATGCAGGAAGATCACGAGCCAGAGGGATGGAAGTCTTCTGGATCCAGTGGCCTTGTAAGCATCTCAGAGCAGGCAAGCGTCTCCATGTGGTTTTTCCGGTTCCCAGGGCACAGGGCCTATCAGTGTAGTAACATGTGTCTTGTCAGTAGAGCATCTCCAAGGGAGTGAGCAGAGAGAGAAAAGTGTCTCCTACCTCCAAGGAGGAAATATGAGTTCCCAAAATTCTTAGGAAAAGGCTATGCCCCCACAGAGGCCTCATTGGTTATATCTTGATTGACAGGCCAGACTCCACCCCTTCACTCGTAATCCTCTCAAACTGACACCCGATTATGCAACTACCACAAAAGCTCTTGTGACGCTTTCTGGTAAGCACTGGACAGCTATCTGCAAGATTGTCAGTTCAAACCCTCCCACCACTGTTCAGGAGAAAGATGAGGCTTTTTATAGACTCGGAAATCCTGTATAGGATTGTTATGAATCTGAACTAACTTGATGACAGTGTGTTTTTTAATTACAATAGAAGAGATCAAAGAGGTCATACACAAACTAGAACCCTGCCCACAACCACCACCACAAAAGCCCGGACGTTACACAGGAGAAGACCAAACACTCAGAGAAAAGTTGACAACAACCCTACTCCTTGTCTTTGACAACATAAAGGGAAGGAATACAAGGGAACTCGTTCGAGATGAAGACAGCATAACCCTGATACCTACTCAGAGAGAGACATACCAAGGAAAGAAACAGATTCAAAATGAAACCTAGTCACCTGTGGGCAACATATTTCTTTTTTTTTTTGTATTGAAGTATTTTTAGTTCTAATAAGACTAGCAGTACAGAGTTACAGAGCATAATGTAACACTTAGTTGAAAGTATATTAAGTATGGTACTTTCAATGAACTGGAGGACAAATGGGTATTTCTTTTAAACTTTACGACCAACAATTTACTCCAAACAGTTCTGCTAAGCATTGATACGTTAGAAAGAAACAAAACATCAAACTATTTTCACTTTTTTGGGGACATTTGGTAGCAATTTACAGCACAGACTTTGATCTTCAGGATACCCTGGATTCAGTAGAAAACCTTCTGAATGAAGTTTTGTACAATAGAAGCTTCTTGGCAGTCAACATTTAGACCATAAAAAAATACATGCAAAAACATACTTTTCTGAAAACACTTAACTTTGAACAAAGCACCACACTACACAAATGCAGAATGAAAACAGCATTTCAATGCCACCAAATGTAGTCATCCTAAAAGGTGTAAAAGTCATCTAACTCCCTCACTAGGCACTGTTCACTTTTTCACAGGAGACAATAAAAAAATATTGCCCACAATCACTATCCCAACTGTAGGGCATGTTTCAGAAAGTCTTCCACTTCATGCTTTACTAGCGGCAAGTATGATTGCGATCTGAACATGATCTGTATCCTCCACGACTACAGTAGGGAGAAGGTGACCGTCTCCTATAAATTGGATCCTGGTCTTGAGCGGCTCTCCATCTACCTCCTCCACCCCCTCCTTCTCTGTATGGTCTCCTGTAGTCGTCCCGATCACTATAGCCTCCATCACGTCCTCTGTCACAGTAGTCCCCACGGCGTGTCTCCCCATACAAACGCTAGGAGCTGGGGTGTGTGGTCTTTTTGTAATGGAGAAATCAACTCTGATCCTACAGCCATCGAGCTCCATTCCATTAGCACGCTCTTTAGCTTCCTCGGCATCGTCTACATTTTCAAAAAATACAAAGGCACATCCTCTTGAACGCATAGACTGCTGGTCATACACACTAGACTCATCAGCAATGGGGCCATATTTAGAGAACACGTCTCGAAGGTCTCTTTCGGTGGTGTGGAAGCTCAACCCCAACTCTCCAAGACAGCAGTTGGGATCAGGGTTTGCCCGATTCCCAACATGACGCCTCGAGTAGACGAGTAGATGTGGGAGAAGGACCGCGGCTGGGCCACCTGTGATAATCAATGGTAACACCTGCTGCAGGATCGTCTATGGCAATGAGACCGTGATCTTGTGAACTTCTTCTGGACCTAGACCGAGACCTAGACTCAGACCTGGACCTGGACTTTGACCTGGAACGCCTGGAATCTTCCTTGGAGCGAGACCTTCCAGGGATATGCCTTGCAGATTTCCCAGCTCCATGAGCACTCCCACTTCTGAAAGCAGAATGGCATTCCCGCTCGCCGTGGTTCTGCTCACTGCTGTCGCTCGTCGCTCCTTGCGCTGCAGTCGAAGCTGTCAACCTCCTGGGCCATAGCAGCCACAGCTTTCAGAGCCGCCCAGGGACGAAGCCCTCCACGCTGCCTCCTCACAGGCTCTAATGCTGGCGGGTGTCCAGCATATTTCTTAAATGGGCTAAAAGCCCATTCGGTGGAGCAGAAAGTCTTGTTTTTTAAATGTTGCTTGCAAAATTGGATATATACCTGCAGAAAAACAAAACTGTACCTACACTTCACATCATGCACAAAAACGAACTCAAATGTAATCAAAGAATTAAATGTTAAACCTAAAACCACAACACTGCTGGGAAGCCACATAGGAAGAATATTATGGGACCTGGGTTGCTAACCACAAGGTCAGCAGTCTGAAACCAACAGCTGCTCCATGTGGGAAAGACGAGGCTTTCTGCTCCTGTGAAGAGTTCAAGTCTCAGAAACGCGCAGGGGCAGTTCTTCCCGTCCTATGGGATTGCTATGAGTTGGCATAGACTGCAGGCAGGGAGTACATGCATCCTCGTCGTCGTGAAACAGGATGATACATATTACAACAAATGCTTGAATTTGTCAGCTCCAACTCCTCGTGACCCCAATACACAACACGTTGAAACACTGTCCAGTCCTGCGCCATGCTCACAATTCCTGCTGTGTTCCAATCCTTGGTTACTGCCACTTTGTCAATCCATCTTGCTGAGGATTACCCCCCACTGCCTCCCCCCATGATTCTATACCAAACATAATGTCTTTTGTAGGGACAGACTCGTTCTCATTTAAATTAAGGTAGAAATGCTCGATAATGATCATGTAAATCAGCATATCAAATGCTTTTAATTTAAAATAAAAATGCTTTGATTGCTTCTATTTTCCTCATGGCGTAAGCATTCGTATGTACTCTAAGGTCCATTCCAGCCACTTGCTTCTGAATTATTTGCATTCATCTGAATGCTGGTAAGTAAGAGTTATCTACCAAAATAACATCTATACTGTGCCTTTGTAAACTTTTTCAGATCTTCAGCAGCGAGGAGGGGAGAAAGTAAAAGTGATATATTGCACCACGGCTGAAGTTTTGGTCTCAGCTGAAAATGTAGTAAGCTGAAACTTGGTAAACAGCTAATAATCCCCAGACACAAAGGGCTGTTAACACTTTGCAGTAAAGAACAACTGTAAATGTATTACAGGTCTAATCAGTTACCTATATCTTAAAAAAAAATTTTTTTTTTAATTTAAAGATCTATTACCCAGTCCCAATGATTCCTCGTGATCACACCGGCGCTGGCTTCTTCCATGGGCTTATTGCTTCTCAGCTAGATGGCTGCTTGTTTAACTTCAAGCCTTTAAGACCCCAGATGCAATATCTTTTAATAGCCAGCACCATTCACCTTCTTCACTACATTTGCTTATGCACCCATTTTGTTTTCTGCAATTGTGTCGGGAGGGTGAACATCTCAGACTGCCGATTAGTTAGAACAAAGTGTTCTTGTATTGAGGGAGGGTATAAGCAGAGGCCTGAAGTCCATCCACTACCTCAGTGTATTGCCGTATAAATACATGTACCTAGGCAAATACCTCTATTTTTGTGGATTAATGTATTTACATATGTACACCTCTATGCTTATAGCTATCTATACCCTGCCTTTCTGCCCCAGTCAAGTTGCAGCCCTAGAAAATCTAACTGAGGAACTAGGGCCATATGAATCAAGAAAGCAACTGCCAATAAAAATAAAGCTGTTTGTTCTGCGTGGGAATGGGGAGTCAGCACAGCTGAGTTTGCTGACCTCAGTCAAGAGAAGAGGCTTCTGTTAGTTGCTGTGGTGAAATCCTGCTCTTTCAGTAAATCACTTTCCTGATTCAGCGAGGCTCTGTAGAAACATCACTGGTGTTGTGGGAGACTGGGCTCTAAGAAATCTTGAGTCATGAGTACATGGTGTGACAGTCCCTTTCTCTGATTAGAAAGGGAAGAAAGTTTTTTCAGCATGTTTACAGAGACTCAAACTTGTGCTTTCAAATCAAAACCAAACTCAGAGCCACCGAGTCAATTTTAACCCACAGCAACTCTGTAGGACAGTCTAACTGCCCCTGAGGCTTTCCCAAGACTGTAACACATTATGAGAGTCAAAAGCCTCATCTTTCTTCCAAACTTGTCCTAAGTGACACAAATGGTCAATGCTGGTCTGCCAGCCTAAAGGTTGGGAATTTGACCCTCATCAGAGACAGGTTTCATGACCTTGAAAACTGGATGGATCTGTTCTACTCTGCACACTTAGGGTTACCATGACCTGTAATTGACTTAATGGCAAGTAGCCATGGCAAACTAATGATTCCTTCAGAGAGCTTCATTGGGTGTGTGGAAAATACTTTACATGTGAGACCTCTTTGCAAAATGTTCCTTGAGTTCTCGAATTTAAATTTTTATCATTATGAAAAATAGGCTGAAAAATACCCACATAGAAGAGCATGGGCATTGCATCATGGGCAAATGTCTACTGCATTTTCTCCATGGTTTACAGTTTGGGGATAACAGCTTGTGTTTGCTCTTTTTTTCTCTTATGTTTCTGCTTTGTTAGTATCACTTCAGTATGTTACATATTTGGTTAGCCAATTAGTGTAAAATAACTTTATTGTTGTATGTGGAAGCATTTGGGTGTAGATTAAAAAAATACAGGCTTTTCCCGCCTAGAATAATGTCAATACAAGGTGACTTGAAATTACTATTCTAATCATACTTGTGCAATTGTCAAGTGAGAAGGTACCACTTGCCAGAGCCTGGGTTCACCCGCATAATCCATCAGCCAGAATAAAGAGTAGCTCATGGCATATGATACTCCGGTATTGAAAACCCAAGGACCTCCCCCTTTGATTGATCCTATGAACTTATATATGACTCTTTGCATAGCCTATGAAGGCTGGATGACTGTTGGGCACCTGGCAGATAGAAGGGCAACTAAGCCACAGCAGTTGTGAAATCGCTGCCTCTCTTGGGCTCTACCAGGGAGTGACTGAAAGTAGTGACTATATTTTCCCCATACAATTTAGGGAAATTACAAGATTGTCACCCACTATATGTTTGACAGCTTGAATTTTAAAGTTACTAATATGAGACATTTATATTTGCTTGTGCACATGTTAAATCTAGATTATTTTGAGGTTGCTATTCCATTTTTGGGACCAAATTAAGATGTAAGTGTGTTTTAAATTAAAAACAAATTATGTATTTTCTTGGAAAGTCTAATATTTGCATTTTTATATTTTTGTTTATTTTCAGTGAAAATACATCAATTGATACCTCATGGCATTTAGTTCCTTAGTGTGGGGATTTAGGATCATGGTTCAAAAAAATCTCACTCAGTTGGCTTATTATGTGTTTAGTGCGTCTGTTCTGTTTTCTAGATCATTGTGTTGTGTAGGATGTCTTAAAAGTAGCCATCCAAGGTACAATTAGTCCCTATTCACCTGGAACACCATAAAGGAGAGTCAAGAGTAGGAGGAGAAAGTGGAACACATGGCTAGTTGTCTCCATGAGCAACGGCCTCATTTGCCATGAAACTAGAACCGGATGGTTCTCAGCTAGCATGGTTGAGCATGTTTATCAAAGATGTTCTGAGAGTCAAGATTTTGTGTTAACTTGGTTGGGTCAGGATTCCCACCAGTTTGGCAGTTAACACTAGTAATCACCCACGACCTGACCTACCACCATGTAACCAAAGCCAATCAGTGTTAAGCCTCCATAATGGGATAAGATTAGGGTGGAATATACCACCATCCCCTAGTCACAGCCCTGAAAGAATTCAAAGGAAGCTTCTTAGGGGTTGTGAACTCCTTTCAATATAAAGACGCATTGGAAAAGCTTGTTTTTCTTTTTGCTGGGTCTGGATCTTGCACCCAGTTCATCTACCACTGGTTCTTGGAACTTTGGCCAATGGCCTGCCCTGCTGCCTGCTGATCTTGGACCTCCTCAGAGGCCTGCCATCTGACTATCCAGCTTTGATTTACTTGCTTTTCTAACCTGGGATTCATTTGTCTCAGCAGTCACCAGCCTGTGGTCTTTTTGCTGATCTTGGGGTCATCGGGCTTTGAAGCTACTCAAGTCAGGAAAAACCTCCAGCTTTACATCTGATCTATAGGTGCGGAACCTGCCTGGACTTGGACTTGCCTTCTTCTACAACCCTGTGAGCCACATTTTATTGATATAAATTTATTTCTACCCATACATACATGCATCACTGGTTTTGCTTCTTTTGAGAATCCAGCCCAGGAAAGATGCCATAGAAGAATCTTCATCAAAAGGAGGAAAGTGTCAAACAGAATTTAAAATTTTCATAGGATTAAGCCTTTCTGGAGCCATGGAGCCTGGATGAATTGCTGAAATTATTGCACTAAGATAGTCATGAAATCTTAAATAAAAATATCCCTGAAGCTTTCTTAAACCTAAATAATAGTTTAGCTTAAATAGACAAGAATGTCTTCCTTAAGCATTGTGTTCTTTTAAAATCTTTCTATATGAGATCAAAATGCAGTGGTCAAGTGCTTGGCTGCTAACCAAAAGGTCAGTGGTTTGAATCTACCAGTCACTCCTAAGATGAAAGATGCATAGCTTGCTTTCATGCAGAGTAAAACCTTGAGAACCTTACGTAGCAATTCTACTGCATCCTATAGTGTTTTTAGACTACATAGTGCTGGATTTGTATGGGATCAAGTTGACAGAAGGAGTTGAAGAATGAGATGAGAGCCTTAGGGAC